CAGTATGAATTCATAGCCCCCTGAACTCCGTTCTAGGTGCACAATGTCAATAGAAAGCATTTGGAAAGGAGCCGCTGTGATGATAGGCTGTGATGGTTCCCTGGTTGTTAAATTAGGACGTCTCTGTTTCAGACAGCAGCAGGTATGATGGATGAAGTTTTCTACGTCTCTTCTCATGTGTGGCCAATAAAATCTTTCTCGGGCTAGGGCTAGTACTCTCTCAACACCGAGGTGGCCCATTTCTTCATGGAGTTCACGGTAAACAGTGCGACGAAATTTCTGTGGAAGAACTACCTGCTGGTTGCGATAAAGTAATCCACTCTTCCTGGTTACATGGAGTTTATACCACTCATTTAGGAGCTTACGAGTCAAAGGTGGTTCCTTGTGCTTTTCTGCAACCGTCGGTTTGTGGTTTGTCTTGATAAACTTAACGACACGCCCAATGTGGGGATCTTCTCTCTGTGCTTTCACTAAATCTACCACCGTTACTTGATTGCAGGCTGCTTGTGACAAAGAGTCAACCTGATAAAGTTCCTCTTCTTCATCGGTCAGAAACGTGAGCCAAGTTGAGTCTCCGTTCGACAATGTCTGAATTGCAGAGATTGAGGCATTCAAGCTTTCACCGGGTACTCTCTCAGTACAACTGTCCATGTAAGTGTTAAAGTCACTGGGCAATCGGGAAAGGCTATCGGCATCAACGTTCAACTTGCCTGGTCGATACCGTATTTCGAAGTTGAAGTCAGCAAGCTCTCCAACCCATCTCAATCCTGTGGCATTTAACTTGGCAGACGTTAAAACATAAGTTAACGGGTTGTTGTCCGTATAAACCACAAATTCAGGGGCATAATAGAGATAGTCTCTAAACTGTTCTGTCACTGCCCATTTTAGAGCTAAGAATTCTAGCTTTCCCGAATGCATATGGTAGTTGCGCTCAGTGGGGTGAGAGTCCTAGATGCATACGCGATAACTCTTGTACAGCCATTCTGTTTCTGGTAGAGAACAGCTCCCAAGCCATCCTTTGATGCATCGGTGTGTACAATAAATGGGGCATTATAATCTGGATATGCCAACAGAGGGGGTGACGTTACTTTATCTACTAAGGCATCCAGTGCAGACTGGTGTTGGGGTCCCCAGTCCACTGGTGACGAAGGTGGTAGCTGTCCACTACGTAGCCTAGTGTTCTGTCTGGTCGAAGAAGTATTCTTCTTCCCCGGCAGGTCATGGTTGAGAAGGTCATAAATGGGCCTTGCTATTTGTGTAAAGTTTTTGACATGGCGACGGTACACACCAAGTAGGCCCATGAGTCTTCTTACTTCCTCAACAGTTCGCGGTTGTAAATTCTTCATCGCAGTCACAGCATTTGTTGCTTTGGGATCTATCTGATACCCGTCTTGAGAGATAACTCTTCCCAGGAAGGACACTTCCCGTTTGAACAATGAACACTTTCTAGGCTTGAGCTTTACACGATAACTTTTCAACCGGCGAAGAACTTTATGAAGATGTTCAATGTGTTCAGAAAATGTCTCTGAGAATACGATCACATGGTCCAAGTAAGGGATGCACATCTCATCACGCAACTCTCCAAGACAGTTCTCCATAAATCTCTGAAAGTTCGCTGGCACATTCATAAGACCGAAGGGTATCCGCACCCATTCATACAATCCCCAAGGTGTAACAAAGGCAGTAAGTGGCTGACTTTTCTTTCCAACAAAACCCTGATGATAGGCCTTTCCCTGATCCAAAACACTAAACCAGGACTTGCCCCCTAGACCATCTAATGATTCTTGGATCCGGGGAATGGGATGCAGGTCAGGCACAGTCTTCTTATTTAATTCTCTGTAGTCTATGCATAACCTCATTGCACCATCTTTCTTGCGAACACAGACAACACTACTTGAGAATGGCGACTTGGACTTCCGGATAAAGCCTCGGTTGAGTAAGTCCTCGATATAACCTTTAACTTCCGGGTAGAGTGGACGGGGTATGGAAATGTAATTCTTCTGCACTGGCTGATCGCTAGTCAATTCAATGTCCATCTCTAGTTCGGGAACGCAGCCAACGTCATCATCACTCATTGCGAATGCATCTGCTTCTTCAACCAACAACTGCTTCGCCTGCTCCTTTTGTTCTGCCGTCAGTCCGCTCAAATCAACTTCAGGTAACCAAGACACGTTGCTCTCAATTTGCTCGGCAGGTGCATCTTGTTTACAGGGAGGTCTCTCACATGGAGTTGTGTCTCCGGATCCTTAAACCTGACTTCAACAGGAGTCACTGATCGTACAAGCTAAAGGCGCCCCAAAACAACTCTTCCAGGCAGGGTGATGTTGTGGTTAGTGTTGTTGGTCACTGTAACAGATAGAATGGTTGCATTGCCCTCCTTCACAGTGGTAAGGGATTCATGTACTGCTAATCCTGAAGGCCAAGTAGCCAGCTCATCAGGCTCAAACAGGACAGGCGTCTTACGGTGGATTGGTCCAGTGTTAGCACGACACGGTAGGTGAACAGTCTGCCCCGCAGGGAGAATCTGTGGCTTCTTTGAAGATTTAACTTGACAAAGTTCATCAGAATTAGAAGTACGGATAAGGCTGATCAATACTTGTGTGTCACCGCTTTGCTCAGTTTAAAGCTTTTCGACATCCCGTTAAGCAGAACATCATCATTTTCCTCTTCAGTGTTCCTGACCATTAGTTCTATAACATTAAAACCAATGATAGGTTGGTCAATGTTCTCCCTTGTTATTAAGAATGGAACTCTTACTTCCGTCTCCTTTTCATTTGCTAATCGTACACTAATCTCTGCCCACCCACAGTAAGGAATATCTGTTCCATTTGCTGCTTGCAAGTTTATGGATCCATCTGTGCCAAGTAACTGTTCAATATCCCTTATTTGGACTGCTGGTAGTTGGCTCTTCAGAAAGTCTGCTGAAACAATTGATACTTGGGCTCCTGTGTCCCATAAAGCTTCTGTAGGCTTCTCGTCCAGGTAGCACTTCACTGAACACTTCTTTCCCACCCATAGGCGTACGGGAAATTTTTTGCCAGGGGGGGGCGGTAAACCATTTGCCCAAAAAAAATCTCCTAAGTTGCCCAAATTTTTACGAAAGAGTCGAAAAGAAATGAGGGCCATATTGCAACAACATAGGCCGTCCTGGCATATGAAGGTGGCTCGATACAGGTTTTCAGGATCAATACCAAGTCTGAGCATAAACTACGTCGCCATAAGCAAACATTTGGAAAAACTGCGAACACAGTGGTATTAAGATGAAAATTTGGCATTATCAGGGTTGCAGTGACATCGGAGTTGTCGTAGCAACGAAATGACTCCATTACCTATTTTTTTCTCGGTACGGGAACCTTACAAAATCGTTCACAGGAGCTTTTTTCTCCAATACGGTCGCCTCAATGTTCGTGAAGTTTAAGCAAAACCTTAAGAGCGTTATCGAGATATTTTGCAATGATTTTTTATTATTAGAAATACGGTAACGAAAAGAAAATCTTGATTTTTGGCCATTATTTGTAGAAAATGAAGTGCTTTTGTCCTGCAATTTCACCTCATAGTAGCTTTAATCGTTTTAAAAACTTGTGTGAAAGATCGTGGAGGTAGCTCTGCTTGATTGCTAGAATCGAAAGAAGGATTTGATTAGTATGTATCGAGACACTCTTGTTAGCGGTTTTGTAAACATTTCGGTCTACTTTAACAAATCAGCGGATAATTTTAAACCGCTCGATAGATTTTTTAAAAGAATTAAGATTCTTCTCGTAATTCAAACTGAGAATTAGTCAGCCACTTCTTCATGTTCATACAGTTTTCAGTCGAAATCGCGCGGAAACGCTTGCTATTCAGGCAATACCCATTGCTAAATGCTATCTGCCATACACTGTTCTTCGAGTGGAGATGATTCTAGAAAGTTATGCGAAAGTTTATTTCAATCAATTCTCGACTGGAAATAGCCCATTCCAGCTAGTGCAGTGCAGTATAGTGCCCATCAAAAAAAAAAACTGCAAATATGTAAATTACTCATCACATGCTAAGCAACCACTGTAATGTAACTGGATTATTACGCCTACTTCAGGTTAATATTCAGCTCTTTAAAATAATTAAATGAACATGGAGACTTCCTTTAAAAACTGGCTTTGCCCAAATTTCCTCTCGCTGCCCAAAAAATCTGAGTTGCCCAAACTTTGGGGGGCTGCAGCCCCCCTCGCCCCCCCGGCCCGTACGCCTATGTTCCCACCAGTTTGGCTATGCGCTCCTGTTGTCTGGGTGAAATGTGGCTAGCATACACACCACTATCTTGGGCATCTCCTAACCCCTTTTCTTTAAAAGATCCTCTCTCAGAGAGTTCCTTGATTGCTTTGTGCAACACTTTGTGTTTTGGCCAATGGGCTTTCTGACAACGAACAGAACAATACCGAACAGACTGGCACCCTGAACACTGTAATAATTGTGTGTGACAATCAAACTTCAGGCAACCACTACACTGGTGGGACTTCTCTTTTTCTGGCGAGGCTACTCCCTGTCCCGCGGGGGTAGCCTGGGTGCTTTTCCCGGATAATTTCTGGACCTTGACTGACAGTAGCGTGCAATATGGTACAAGCCACCACAGAGGTAGCAATGTGGGCATCGGTCACCTTCCCTCTTCCTCCTACACTCTTGGCAACCAAGTGACCTTGCTCCAGTTCTCACTCCATTCCCAGCATGACTAGGCATCATAGGGTCTGCCTTCTGGTTGCTTGCTGCTTCACGCAGGTTTTTAACTTCTGCCTTCATGGTAGCCAACTCTTCTTAAACAGCTTTTAGTGTAGCTAGAACCTGCTGGTCCTTCTGTAACTCTTTCTTTGTATTTGATTCAGCTGCACTTTCGATAGCAGACACCTTTACAGATTTCCCCTTGCTGGCAAGATTGAACTTATTACTTCGCTCTGCTTCTGCCGATATGGCTAGGCTCATAGCTCCAATGAGGTCTTCATCTGCGACCTTTGGGTTCTGAGTGAGTGGCCTTATTTTTGCCGAATGGTTTCGTCAGCAAGACCTGTTTCCACGGCACGCAGGAACAAACTTTGTACTGAAGAGGCGTCATACTTAATCCCACTGTCCGACTCTTTTGAAGCACTAATAATCTTCTGTCTAACGGTTAGTGCTCTCATCAAAAATGACTGAGGATCTTCATTAGGCTGCTGGGCAATATTTGTTAAAAGCTGATAAAGTTCTGTGGCATTTCTTTCATGAAAATGGAAGCGAAGAATTTTATGCAACCTTGGTAGGGTGAGGTCAACCATGGTCTCTAAATAGCTTCTTAGTTGTAGACCTGGCTGTACAGCACGAACTACGGCACTAACTTCTTTATCGGAGTATCCCTTGGTAAGCCCTGCTTCTATTTGTGATATTAGGGCTTGGTAACCCAGCTTTTCTTTCTGACCGGGGTCGCCTACCACTCCCTGTATTTTAAAATCTCTACGGAATATGCCCTGCTCAACCCCCTTTACAGGAAACTTGATTGTCTCTTCTTCCTTTACTGTGCCAGTCAGCTTTTCTTTCTGCATTTTGGCTAGTTTCTCCTCCACTAACTGCTGCTTAGATTCTAAATCACCTAGTTCTTCTTTGAGCTTCTTTAGGTCGTTTTTGTTTTGTAATCCTTCCCCATACTTATCTTCCATTCCCTCGAGTGGCGGAGGACCCAAGTGTGCCATTAACCCGTCAACATAATCAATTTGGTCATCGCCGGTCAGAGCATCAACTGAATCCTCAATTTTGCGTCTGATGGACCGAATAACAATTAATTTCCCCTTGCCCTGTACTACCGACTTTTCCACTTTAACATGCAAAGCAAATTCACTTAAAGCGCTCAAGTCCATCGACAATATTTTCTTGTCTAAAAGAATGAGGCTTTCCTCCGCCATCTTGCTTCTAATTAACACGATCACAAAACCCACAAAGCATCCAACAAAACAACATTCATACCTTTCCTGGCCTCAAAGCTGCATTCCACTATCTCTTGACTAGCTGTTCACACCAAATGTCCGCCTACGCTACAAACCACTGTTTCCTGCTCGCCAAATCAAGACCAAAATAAATATCTTGGACAGCGATCCACACAAATCCTAGCACACAACGTTCTTCGACCATTGAAACTTGTACTGCATCTAATTCCTTCGATGAATCCTCCCGGACAGGCCCCCAGAATGTTACACAGGATATTGACACTACTTGAAAGTATCCCAAGTGTATTTTGCTCATAAATTTCCTTAACTTTTACAACTCTCGGGTTCGTAACGCCGATTACTTTTCTAGCTTTTTTCGCACATGGTTTTTCTCTTACGTCATCAGAACGTCATATATGGTTTCCAGTCCTTAGGCGCACGGACGCCTGGCACTAACTACTAATGCTTTTAACAATGAAATTTCTATGCCTAACACTATGACCTATGTCAGGGGGGAGGGGAGAGTTTTCAAAATGGCAGCCGGTAATATTGTTTGAACGACAGCATGGATCAAAATGACTGGGTACAATGTCAAATTATCATTTTTTGGATTTAAACTTATTGAACTTACACCAAAGCTAATTAAATGTGGCATCAAAGTATCACTGAAAGTTTCATTTTTAAGTTTTGAAAGAATTTGGGTGGTTGCTTCAAGGTTAAAATTATACATGTAAATTATGATTGCCTAACACTACTTTCTAATACTTCATTACTCGGAAAACACCTCTAAATTGTACCTTCAACGTTCAAAGGTCAAAAGCATAGGGGCTTACACAAATTATAAATTATTCATGGGGCTGACATCCACCACATTTGCACAACAATGTGCAGGGCAAATTTTGTTTTACACATTTGCATCATTGTCTGCAGTCCTTAACGCATCCACACTTTACTGCAGCACGACACGCTGCACTAGCAGGCGGCAGGTTCGTCTGCTTCACTTCCCACTGGGCAGACGCATTTTCCCATTTCCAACCGAATTCTTTAGGGCTTGGTACCTGCGGTGCTTTAAGGAGAGCCTGGCCCCACACATGACCGGCCCGATATGCTACTCAAAGGACGTGTTGACGTAGGGCATCTTTTGTTGACGGAATTTTCTTTCTTTCCTTATCTTTCTGTGTGAGCAAAGTTTGTCTGGTCTTGTTTACACTGTCATCAGGGATTTGTTTGTCATACATCAGAATGACTAATCTCTCCATAGTAGGAAGGATCCCATCCTTCGCCCTGTCAGTAACTTGGACTTTATATCAAAATTGACAGAGCGCGCTGTTTTCGACCAAATTCACAGTCATATGAGTCGATTCGCCCTTCATCCAACCTCGCAATCCACTTACCGAAAGGGTCACAGCCCAGAAACAGCGCTAATGAAGGTACAAAATGACATTCTTATGAATATGAATCGCAAGCATGTAACTCTTCTAGTTCTCCTAGATTTGAGCGCAGCGTTTGACACTGTTGACCACAATACTCTGCTTGCTCGTCTTAAGTCATGTATCGGCATTAATGGCACGGCCCTTAATTGGTTTACGTCTTATCTTAACAACAGGTCGCAACGGGTCTCGCTAAATGGCTTTACATCTGACAGTTTTAAGCTTCCTTATGGCGTTCCACAAGGATCGTGTCTGGGGCCATTGTTGTTTACCATTTATTCCAGCAAATTGTTTGAAGTCATCAAAAACCATCTCCCTGAAGCTCATGCCTATGATGATGACACTCAGCTTTACCTGTCGTTTAGTCCTGACACGGCAACTAATCAGACTGATGCGGTCATTACCATGGAACGCTGTATATCGGACATCCGTACGTGGATGCTTACGGATAAGCTCAAACTTAATGATGACAAAACTGAGTTCATGTTGATTGGTACAAAACAACAACTTTCCAAAGTAAATATTGATTGCCTTACCGTAGGAAGCATTGACGTTACTCCTGTCACTGTGGCAAGAAATTTAGGTACATGGTTCGATTCTAACTTGAATCTCCAGGAACAGATCCACAAAACTTGTAAATCTGGGTTTTGCCATTTATACAATATTCGGCGTATCTGAAGATATCTGTCCCAGGAGTCTGCACGAACTTTGGTCCATGCTTTTATCATTGATTGTATAGATTACTGCAACAGCCTTCTATTTGGTTTACCCTCTGTTCATCTACTTAAACTGCAACGCTTGCAGAATGCAGCTGCTCGACTTATATCTAATGTCCCTCGCTACAGTCACATAACACCAGTACTATGTTCGTTACATTGGCTTCCTGTCAAATTTCGTATTGATTTTAAAATACTTCTTTTTACTTTTAAAGCTATCTATGGTCACGCGCCTGGTTACTTGATCGATTTGATTGCTATTAAAGAACAGCAGCGCTATAATCTTCGTTCAGCTAGCGGTCTTATCTTAAAGTATCCTAGTCTAAAACTGAAAAAGACTTTAGGGGATTATGCTTTTTCATCTGCTGCCCCTTATTTATGGAACAATCTGCCCCTTCACATCCATCTTGAGGACAATTTTGAACGTTTTAAATCTTCACTTAAAACGCATCTTTTTAGACTAGCTTTTGATATGTAATTTTTTAACCTACTATGTAATGTATTTAGTGTTTTTTACCTTTATTTATTTTTAGCGTTGTTTGTTCTTAGCCTTAATTATTTTGCTCATTTTAGCTTTTATTTTCTTTTAACATTTACGTGTTGTCACACGCTTTTGATCATATTTGCATGGAAAAGGCACGTTATAAATTTTTACTTATTATTATTATTACTTATTACTATGTGTGCTGCTGTTGGTGTTTGGGCAAGTGTACGTAGAGTGCACCTAACATCCTCAAACTTATTCTACACTGACCATGCTGTACGCTTTCCTCTTCCTGCAGATTTCGCGAAGTGACTTCTTATGTAGGCTAAACTCTTTTACATAATCAGCAAATAAATAGGACCTGACAGGTTTAAGCATGTTGACTATTGCTGCGCCATCAAGAACGATCATGTCCACTTCAGGCACTAAGCTGTTTGCTTCTTCGGTTAACGGTAGGAGATCTTCCAGACATAGAAGTAGGTCAGACGTTGTTGCTAGTCTCAACTTTCCATTGTCAGATATTGAAGGTGGCGACGACTGGTTTTCATGTTGGAAGATCAGCATCTCGCACTTGACTCGCGATGTATACAGTTGAAAACAAATGCCAGTCCCGTTTCATGGCCAGCAGCTGTTTCGTGTATGGGTTTTTGCCTTGTCAGGACGCAATCTGAATAAAGGTACATTATTTCTTGGTATCCTATCAGTGACTGGAGTTGTATGTTGTACTAGCCGGCAGTTAAAGAACTCACTGCATTGACGTTCACCAAGCTCTTTCAAATTGCTGACAGAATCAATGACGCCTGCATTCCTTACCTCCTGTCTATCAAGAACTAAGAGATCACTGCTGGTATCAGTGAATGGGTTGCCCATATTTTGCATGGTCTCAACCAAAACCTTCACATTCTTGAGAAAAGATGCTTGTGTTGCTAAAACAAATGATAAAAAAATTATTGTAATTATAGCAGTCTTACGATTACGAATAATTAACAATCGTCAGTGGTACCAAAGACTGTGGGTATTAAAAAGGGTGGGAAAAAAACTACATAAACCCAAAATAAGTTTAGTCACGTGGCTGGTCCTCGTGGTGATGAAGCTGTGATACTGTTTCCTTCTCGTCTAAAACACTGTGACATTTCTGGTCCAGACACCATCCATCTTAGTAATGCCGATGAGTTCTCGATGAGACCAACTGCATGTCCATCTCCTTTCACGCAGGCATTGTTCTGCTCATGGCTTTCGTCCAAAGCCGTTCTAGAAAATGGTCGCCGTGTCTTGTTAACTGTGAATTTTCCCTTGCAAAATTCTGCAAATATTCCAGGATGTTTGTCTCTAAGCATAATCATGTCACGCAGATGGATAGCAATGGCACGTACGTAGTTGTGGTGGTCAAGGGAATGGAACAGCCACTGAAGTCTTGTCAAAGCCTCCACATACAAAAGGAAGTTCCTTTCATGGATTGATCTGGCCCAGGCCAGTGCATCCAACTCGGTGCTGAGCACAAGTTGCCAGAAATGGAACTGTGCCTTTTGAGCTGCTCTCTGTTTGCACCATTCATCAAACGATGGGGCGTTTCATTCCGTTTGGGTGTTATGGAAACTAAGACCCTCGAAATATAAGACCTAAGACCCAAGACCCGTCTTAGTTTTCCAGATTACAAAAACTAAGACCCCCTAAAATCGAATCCGTCGAAATATAAAGTCAAATTGTAACCGAAATAAGTCTGATCTGTCAAATTATATCATGTTCGATCCTTTCCACCGAGTTTTAGGTCAAATTTAACGGTAAATTTAGGGGTCTTTAAGTTTTCATAATTTCCAAAACTAAGACCCCTCTTAGTTTTCGTAACTACGGAAACTAAGACCCCCACCAAAACAATCTCTAAAATTTCTACAAAGTCGAATTACGACCATTTGAAGACTATAATCCGTAAGACAAACAAAAACTACTACCATCTGATCTACGATCCGCTAACAATTTGAAGACTGGCTTTAAAAAGAGGACCAAAGCCATAGACTTCCTACGTATCTATTGTACACTGAAAATATGCCTTACCCCTATTGGTCTTTAATTTTGTTGTTTATCCTTAAATCATGAAATTGGTTTTCCACTGGAGATGGATCTTTTTCCGGGAATCCTAACCTGTGGCAACCTATCTTTGATTGTTTGTTTATTTTATTGTTTATTTATTTTATTTTTATTTTTATTGTTTGTTTATTTTTTTGTTCTGCAATTAGAACTCCAATTCTCGAGACAATGCCTTGCTAGTACAGGAAATTCATTCACTCATTTTTTTATTATTATTATTTTAAGAGTGATTTTAGCGATTATCCCTCACAGACTATTTCTCCTTGCCCCCCACCCCTACCCCTCAACTACCCTTGCATTGTAGCCCGGTGATCTCTGGGGTGGCAACGATAAAAACAAACACCAGAAAAACGCGATGTAGCATATTCTCCTTTTTTCGCCCTTTTTATGAAAGCACTTTTATCTATGACCTGGCCAGAAAAGGAAAAAAAAATCCGTATTTTGTGTGATGTTTAACTGATACCGCCGTGGACCATTTAGCGATCAGGCATTCAGGTCGCAGTGACATGTCAGCCCGCAACAAAGACAAAAATCCATCTCCAGTAGAAAACCAATTTTATGACTTTAAGGATAAAAACTAAAATTATAGGGGTAAGGCATATTTTCAGTGTACAATTATACGTAAGTAGTCTAGAGCTTTCATCCTCTTCTTAAAGCCGCAATATTGATAAAGAATGTCTGCAAATTGTTAGAAGAAGCGGATCGTCTAGCTCGCGGATGATAGTAGTTTTTGTTTGTCTTACGGATTATAGTCTTCAAATGGTTGTAATTCGACTTTGTAGAAATTTTAGAGATTGTTTTGGTGGGGGTCTTAGTTTTCGTAATTACGAAAACTAAGAGGGGTCTTAGTTTTCGAAATTACGAAAACTAAGACCCCTAAATTTACCGTTAAATTTGACCTAAAACTCGGTGGAAAGGATCAAACATGATATGATTTGACAGATCAGACTTATTTCGGTTACAATTTTACTTTATATTTTGACGGATTCGATTTTAGGGGGTCTTAGTTTTCGTAACACCCCATTCCGGGTGACATGTTTGCCACTCAACATACGATGCCTGCCAAAGCTTGTACAGAGCACAAGCTGTAATCTGGCGAGCAGCAGCAGTTTTTTCCAGGAAAGAATTTGAGGTTCCTGCTGTACCTATTTCAGCTTGCACTAGTGCTGACGTCCAGCCACTACCATCCAAAAGATCTCCAAGCGCTTTTAGCAATGCCATCTTGATGTGTAGATCACTAAGCATTATAACAAAAGACTCCTCTCCATACTCTTCTGGCCACATCCATTGGATTTGTTTGGCAATTTTGAACAGTGGCTGATCACAAGCGATCACTGGAACTTGCACAGGATTAACAACTGTCACAGCCTTTTTAACCACATTCATGGAATGACAAATCATTGCCAGTGATTTCAAGTCATCCAGGAAGAGAGGAAGAAGAGCAGTGACTGCTGAGGGTCATGGACTGGGGTCACAGCTTGTTTTCGTCTTCTCGAGTGGTATGCTGCCCAAGATACGTGCAATTCCGCCCTGCCACAAGCAGTGCCATAATTTCCTTCACTTATTATCTTGCTAAGGTGATCGCACCAATCATTCTCTTGTGCTACAGCTTTACTCATGAGACTGCAGCCAGGTTTTTGTAGTCCAAAAACCTCTGGAACAGGAACCTCACTTTTTGTAACAGTGATTCCTGGTACAAGTGTGTAACTTTCCGGTAGTTTTGGCACTTTCTTGCCCATCCTGGAGATAAAATTAAATCTTCTTTGCTCTGTGCCATGATTTTCAGTGTCGGAATGCTGGAAAAGTGATATGCCTGTCCCATGAAAGGATCCCTGTGCGCTTGTTGCTCAGTGTTGGATCATGGTTGATATTATCCAGTGCTGATGTTGTGAATACACCAATGTTTAGTTTAGGCGGGGAAACTGTTTTGATTATTTTGAAGTGGCTGATGGTGGTGTTACTAAGGTCTGCAGACAATCCAAGGACATAGTCATATGAAACAGATAATCCCACCCTATAAAGTGTACTCACAAGATCTTTTGATCTTGTTCTCGAGGGTACCAATGCACCAACAAATAATGGCAGTGGAGTTTCTCTTTGTTCTGAATGCCTGGTGTGCGAAGATGGTTGATGACGTCGGCGCACACAACTGTGAAACATTATTAACTGTGAAAGGGACAGAGCAGGTTGAAACAAGTAGCTGGTCTTGTCCTTAATGTTTGTTCCATATATGATCATTGTAATGAGCATAACCAGCGATTGAGGTACTGAATATTCATGACAATCTTCTGTGAATGAACGGCTGAATGGTACATTTTTCTTCTTAGCATCTTGAGATAGGTTCACAGCCTCACTGTCATCGTCGAGCTGGCAGGATCTTAGAGAGTTGCCAACGTTCTTCTTGGCCACAAACAACACATTTCGACCTTCATTGTATGCGTCCAGTTGAGGGAAATAGCAGAGAACTTTTTCTTTTAATCTAGTAGACTAAATTACTGAGGAGTGCCCTTCAAGCTGATCCACTCTATCAACGTAAAGTTTCTTTACTACCGATAGTTGGAAGACAGGGGAAGTATCTTTGTCCTGAAGAGCGGCTTGTACATAAGAAACAAGCTCAGCAAATGCTGTACGTCTGGCGGTGTTTGTGTGGCAATCATCATGTGTTGTACTGGCTTTGTCCCTATCCCTATCCCTGTTGTACAGCGACACTAGGCATTGACTGTGGTATTCTGCCCCAATGGCGATTAAGTCTCCTCCACTTAGCCAGTAAGTGCTGGTTTTGTAAATTAACGGCAAACTGACGTACTTGAGTGTCAAGTTCCAATGTTGCGGCTTGGTGAAGAGGTTTTGAGTAAGTTGCTGGTTCGTCACAAAATAAACAATGAGCTATGGTGTCATCTTTTCAGAATAATTTTTGACGGGTGAATTGTTCCTTCGTTGTAGGGGCAGTTTCATCATTTGCATGCATCTTCCGTTTAGTAGCACGTTGAATTTCATTTTTGTTGAATCTGCGACTGCATGCTGTGTGGAATTTTGCTCTCCTGCTAACGAATGTTTGCTCCAGTGCATCACCATCGTCCATGCGAGTGAGGTTTTAACATCCTCCAGCAAACAACCAAGGTCATTGAAAGCTTGCAGTGCTTCAGCGATAGTTTTATATCCGGCTCAATCACGAGGAAAGTAACAGTAAGGAGCCCCTCAAGGACATAGTGGACAAAACCCACAAACAAACCCTGGACACCCCCTCAAATAGGCATCAGTACAAAATTACATAACCCAACCATGCGCAAGACAATAAAAACCAGTCGCAAACTCAAAAAAATATATATATCGCAAGCGAAACTGGAGCAAGAAAATGCCAGAAGAGGAACATGAAAAGAAATTAACCCAAAACACTATACAATCATGTGAATAAAAACGATTAGTCAGGACTCAAAAGTTTACCTCGTTTCTTCAGCCGTCAATGGACGAGCTTGTTG